TCCTCACATTCAACGTATTTCCTAAGCTATTAATTTCAATAGCCTCTCTTATCTTTCTTTTAACCACAGATCTACCATAATCAGCAAACCTACTAGTTTGAGACCATTCTATTTCATTACAAGTTTCTACCATGTGTTCAGCCTTTGGGGGATTAAACGTTAATGACTCTAGGCCTTGAGGTTAGGACAAGTGGTTTCGTAACCCGACTTTCATACTTACAAGCTCATATCTCATTAGCTCAACTATACTTGCTTATGGAATTACGCAGTCTCGGTCACGGCTTTCTGTTGGTTCATTAGCTCTTGATGATCAGAGTCTGAAATTAGCCTTTTGACAACTCTGATTTAGGACCAGTATTGCGCATATACGCTAACAGACGCACACACTCGAACAAAAGTAGCAGGTCCAGTATGAAAGGGAATTAGCCAAACCACTCTATATCGATCTATCTATGTTTTTAATTTTCTTTTGGCTTAATTGCGTCTATTTAAGAGGTAAGACAAAGCCGGATAGTGTTCTTTGCCTAGTGTTAACGTGAGACTCTTACAAGAATGACACCCAGCTCTGATGATGTCCATCATATGATGGACAAAAGCTCAGCCTGTTTTCATCCGAAACGGGGGAGGAAATCTCGTAAACTGCGTCAACATGAACATCATCTAAAAGCCAAACGGGTGCAATACAACGATATTCATCTGTCCTCATATGATGAAATTGACCAACGAATCCCTTCTTCATGCACTTTCATACGAAATTAAAGTCCCCCCAACAATATTATCTCAGGAGATTTAACGAAACCCAGTTTCCTTTTGTATCTACTTAGGAAAAGAGCCAACGTATGTGGCCGTACATATGGCAGACTGGGCATGAGATAGAATGGTCTCAAACGAATAGGTTTGTTGAATGATTGACCGGCCTTTGAGTCTCTTATTCAGGTACTTTTATACGAAATGATAGTCTCTCCAACAATGTTATCCCAGGATATTCATCGAAACCCAGTTATTCTCCGTATCTATAAGAAATATGGTTAATCTAGGTCGTTATAATTCTGATAGATTAATTGCCTACAGTAAAAAAATAAGGGACCCTCATATCATCGAATTTTATCTAGCCTCACCTTTCAAAATGTTCCCTTAATTAATATCACATCGCACAAAAGCTGGGTAGTGAGTGTGTAATCGATCAAAAAGGGCGACCACCAGGAAGATGTGACTTTCAAGGCAAGTCAAGCCTATTTAAATTTACACTTGCAGTGGAACATGTGTCGATATGAAAAACTCGTATTTACCAAACAAATAGATAAAAATTGCATACGTTGGTAACTATCAATA